CTGCGGGCAAAGGTACGTACCTGGGCACCGCGCGTCCTCCCGGGCTGCAGCCCCTCGCAGGAGGGGAGGGAGAGAGGGAGGGAGAGGGGGAACTTCAGCGAGCCTGAATTGGGCTCTCGAGTCCGCCGCGCGGAGCGGGTTGCAGTAATTTTGCTGCGTTTCTGGGAAACGCGGCTCCCGCAGTGATTGCGGTAGATGGCTTGTAAAAAACCCGGACCTTCAGTGGTGTGCCAGGCGCTTTTGCAAAGCTCCTCCAGCGAGAGTGGAGTTACCGCCGCTAACTTTTCTGCGGAGATGGCAAACGCGGAGGTCCTCCTTGCAGCAAGACTTAATTCCCTGGGAATAAAAAATGCAATTACTGCAAACCGCTTTTTTCCCAAATTACTTTTTTCTTTTTTTTTCTTTTTTTTTTTTCTTTTTGAACCAGGGCTAATTGCAATATTATGCATGTGACTAATGAGCAAGGTCTGAATCTCAGCTGGGCAGCCTTGAGCGGGGAGGCTATTTTCCCCGTCTCAGCTGCACCTCGGAGAAGGCAGAGGGGTTGCATTTCCAGGGTGCTTTAGCTACATCGTTTTGTTAGGTTTGCCCTCGCGTATGCACTCTTGGTTTGGTGTAGTTTTATTTCCTAACGATTTAGAAGCCTTCCTCACACACACAGTGTTTTTAGGAGTTGGCACTTAAGGTTCTTTTTTAGCATTAATGGTATTATTTGTTTGGGATGATTTATGAGCCTTTCCCATGGGTGTCTGATAGGGAAAAGCTTGGAGGGGTTGCTTTTTTCTTTTTTTTTTTTTTTAATATTATGCATGTGCTTCTTGAAAGCACACTTAAAATGACTTTCTCCTGTCTGCAGAGTTGTTGTAGATTGCGTTTGGGGAAAAAAAGTGAGGTAACTGTCTGTTTCTTGTTTCTTTTTTTTGTTTGTTTTGTTTTTTGTTTTCTCCTCCGGTTCTTTCTTGGGATTAACAGGTGACTTTAGCGTCGGGACAGTTCGAGTTGGAGATCTTATCCATGCAAAATGTGAATGGTGAACTGCAAAATGGAAATTGCTGTGATGGCACCCGAAACCCAGGAGACAGAAAATGCACCAGAGACGAGTGTGATACCTATTTTAAAGTTTGTCTGAAGGAGTATCAATCGCGGGTCACTGCTGGCGGTCCTTGCAGCTTCGGATCCAAATCCACTCCTGTCATCGGAGGAAATACCTTCAATTTAAAGTACAACCGGAATAATGAAAAGAACCGGATTGTTATCCCTTTCAGCTTCGCCTGGCCGGTGAGTGCGTGGCCTGCTCTGGCTCTGCCTCTGTTGGATGGTCCTGTTTGAGATGGCCATAGCGAGCCGAGCTCTAACTTCTCGCGCAGGGGGAAAGGGACCAGGACTGGGGAGGGAGCAGGCATCTTGGCAAGAGCGTCAGGAATCCGCAGCACAGAAATGAGTAAAATGTGGTGGTGTTTTTGTTTTTGTTCCCTGGGGCTCACAATGCACAGCCTGTTAAATTTGAAAGTCAGATGTGCAGTGAGGGGGATCTAAATGGGTCAGGGAAGCAAACCCAGTATCTCTGCACTTTACAGCATGAATAAGTCTCTTGAGACTTAGAAGGTCAGAAGTTCATTTTTTTTCTTTTTTTTTTCTTTTTTTTCCCCTAACCAGTGAAGTCTTGGGCTTAAGCCAAAAGAGCAGTGAGTTAGGGGCTGTAGAGGGATCCCGTGTGAAAAGTGTGTGTCATAGCTGGCCTCCTTCCCTGGAGCGTGTTTGGGAAGGCTTCCTGCTTCTCCCAAGGGGAAATCTCGCTGCACTGCTTGGTGTTGATGTGAGCTGCTGTTGCTGCCCTTGGTGAACTAGTTGCCAGCTTCCCTGGGAAGCTTGCTATGTTTTGAGGTACTTGCGGACTCTGGAAGCTAAAGACTGAGAAAAGCCTGGCCTTAGCTTTTGGTTCATTTCACCCACTCTTCCCCACAGCACACCTTTTTCTGGCTGCTTGCCTCTGCGGTCCATAGATTCTGGCTTCCCTTTAGTTGTGTGCAAAACTCGATGGCTCAAGGAGGTGGGACTCATTGCCAGGCACTTTCCCAGCGTTGTCCACTCTAGCAAATACTGGTCAGTCTCTTAGAGTGGTGAGATGAAGGACGGGTGACTCCTTCATTAGCTGAAGCCTGCTTTGTTGTTGGTCGTGTAAAGAACTCTCGCTTAGACTTCAGTTCTGCTTGTTTATTCTGGGGTGCACGAGAGGGTTGAAGCTTTGATATGATCAGCTCTGCAGAGGATCTGCACAGAAACTGAGGACCGTCTTTCCAAAACAGCCATCATCCAGGACAGACCCACAGATACAGGCTCCAGGGCCGTAGGGTTTCTGGACACAGAAGGCTGCCATGGCCTTGGATGGCAGGAGGCACATTGTTCTGTGCCCAGCAGTGCTGTGTGCAGGCAAGCAAAAACTGAGGATGACTGATCTCGGTGGCTCTTATGCACATACAACAGTGTCTTTTGAGGTGGCTCGCTGGGATGCTACGGTCTGAAAGCTGAAAACTCCTGAACTTATGCTCCTAAAACTTATATTTAGAGATCACCTAGGAAACAAAACTATTCCCCCCCCCCCCCCCCCTTTCCCCAAAACAAAGCAGACAATTTCCCACCAACTGCCTTGGGATATGTTGATGCTCAGCAGTTTTGAAAATCCAGTCATCCTAACCTAGATGCCTAAGGTCATTTTTGCGAAGGGAGGAGGGCTCTTACGTGCACACAGGGGAGGGGTGAATCTTGTTTCCTATACTCTGTCACTATCGCTGCTGGCGAGGTGGAAGCATGCGTAGACTTTCCGCTCCCTCCAAAGCTTGGCCCTTCCTAGTCAGATAAGGACTGGTTGCTGGGAGGGCCTGGACTTTGGGGGGGGAAAGCCCGCCCCAAAAACATTCCTTCTCCAGTTGTAGTGTAGACACCCACTTTGTAGTCCTATGGCCAAGTGCTTGCAGGCAGCCATGTGTTCTTGAAATGTCCTGTGCTGCCTCCTACCTGCCTCCTCTGTCAGTTGTGACTTCTGGAGTATTGAGGGCTGGAGAGGCACAAGGATGAAATCCAGTCTGCATTTTTAAGTAGATAGTATTACAAAGTACAATAGCAGAGTTAACAAAAGTATTTTCTGTTGGAAGTACAAGTCCTTCCTTTCTTTTTCTTTCTAACATGAAATGAGATAAAAATGTTATCAAATATGCCATCAAAGGGATAAAGGGCTTTGTAAAAATCTGAGGTATTTGAAGCTCTGCCAATGGCTGCAGTGCTTGTGTTGCAGATTCTGACTTTTTTCAGAAAAGTCAGGTTCATCAAGGATTTTTTTTTTTTTAACTAGCCCCCTACCCTGCTCCCAGTAATTTGAGTGCCTTGAATCTGAAGATATATGTATGTATATAAAAATGATGTGAATACTGAACATGTTCCTTCTAACAACCCCTCTCTTCATAGAATTGGGAAGGGAAATCTGTGCGCAGAGGGTGGGTTTGGGGAGGTGGGGACCCTGGGAGAAGCTTCTTAAGCTTGCCTGCATCTTAGTAAAAGAAATGCTTCTATTGTCCCGCTGAATCTAATTGAGCACTGGAATCCTAGAGCAGCAGCAGCAAAACTCCAGTGCAGCCTTTGAAATGTGTAAAACTCGACAACTTCGGACACTCTGGTTCCTAGGACTGGAATTTTTGGAATAAACTCTTGCATGTTCCCATGCAGAAATGCACTTTTTGAGATTGTGATGATAGTCTGTTTGCAATTATCGAGCCTGCCTCCCAGCTTTAACTTCCATAGGACACAGCTTTTATGCTAGCCATTGTGACTTTCAAATGGCACTTGAACAAAAGAATATCTAATGTGGCAAAGCTCTTATTTGTAGTAAAATTGTGTACACAAATCATTTTAGGCGTTTTGAAAGCTCTACAGATAAAGTAGTAAACTTATTTCAGCATCAGATTTGAGTTGACTAAAATTCAGAACTTAAAAAAAATTTCTTTAGATGGGTGAATACTCTTGACTTTAGTAAAAGCTTGAAACTAGCATTGCATTTACCAATGTGGCTAATCATGAGAGTTGTCTTTGAATACATCCAACTGAAAATTACAGTAAAGGTAATAGGAGCTAGACAGAAATGGTAATCATATTGCACTTGAAAATTCATGCTCATCTCTGAATATGTATTGTTTGTGTTCTACTGTCTGAGGGAGGCTTTTCTTGGATGTTCCAGCTTGAGTCAGTAACATTAAGAAGTCTTGTTGCCTTGACTGCTTTAAAAAAAAAAAAATAATTAAAAAAATATCTCTTCCCATGTCAAGCTGCCCCCTTCCGCCGTTTGTGAAAAATAGTTACATTGCATCAGAAGTCTTTATTCATCATTGAAGAGAGGAAGAAAAAAGAATGGTTTGCTTTAAATGTATTGTTAGATTTGACTTGTAGTTGTAATGTAGATTTGAAGTGTCGGAGTCTTATTAATAACTTATGCGGTTTGCTCTTGTCAGTTTTGATATGCACCCCCGTGAGTAATGGGTGTGGAGATGGTGGGCCAGAAATTAATTTAAGTGATGGGAGGTTTCAGTGAGTTGCTAGGAAACAGGGCAGCAGACCAGCATAAAGGAACTAGAGTGCATCAGAAAGCTGCCCCTGCAGTAGCTAGTGATTCTTCAGTAAGTTGAAACAATAATAATGATGATGATTAAAAAAAAAAAAACCAAAACCCAAAACAACACGTAGTCTTGCATCTTGCATTCATTTTGAGACTAGTGACTTTCTTGACAGGCAGACTTGGCTTATGAAGCCATATAGAAAAGTATGGAACAAAAGAATTTCCATGTTCCACTTGTCAAAGTCTGTGTCAACAAGTTTTGTTTCATGGTAGACACATGCTTTTCTCTGACATAAATCAAATCTCTTGCCTTTCTTAAAGAATCCAAAGTGTGATGTGTGCTATACCTTAAGAGAGCTGTGCATGAATTAGCTAAGCAAAGCTTAGCACTAAACTTTGCTTTTATGTAAAGTAAGAACTTTTGGGGGTTTGGCGAGACTGTGAGTAAGAAGGAGGTCAAACTTGGCCATTCCTTTGGTATGCGTAGCTCCAATTTCAAATGGCTTGTTTATCCTGAAATTATGATCCTTGTAATTATTTAATATTGGGGCCAATTGCACCAACACATCAGGAAACTACTGAGGTGGAAAAAAAACCCTCCAGCATCTAAATGACTTTAGCAGAAAATACAATTAAAAAGAGTTTTGAACATGTTATTTCAACCTTTCTCTAAAATAGTCAGCCTTTCCCCTTTTTAATGACAAATCTTACTGCTACTGGTTCCCGAAGACGTAAAATATGTTTTCTGGGTAGGCATTGTTTTTTCTGGCTAGAAAGAGATAATGAAAGAGCTTTAGTGTTTTCTAAGCTTTGTGAACTTTTTCCCCCTGTCTTGACACGAGAGGCTTCCAAAATACTAATCTGCAGGTGGTATTGAAGTAACAGCCTTTTGAATCTGAGAGAAAAATATCACTTCGTTCAACTGCCTTTTTAAAAAAAAAAAAACAAAAACAAAAAACAAAAAAAGTGCCACCAAACAGTAGGTCACAGTCATAAAACTAAAGCTTGAGTTTTGTTTTTCCCTCCCTCCTTTTTGAAAACTTTTTGAAAACTTGTAGAAGCAAATGCTAGATATTGTTGAAGCTTTTCTTAAAGAATGCCTGATAAGTCATCTTGGAGCGTGGGCAGATCAGAAGACATTTTTATAATAACAAAATGCATGTTAATCAAATCGACACTGTCATTTATTGTTGACTAATAACTTAAGAATAAATATTCAGCACTCAAAGTGCAATGTTTTGCCTAGGATTACTATCCAAAACAGAGCTGAGAGTATTAAGTGACATCTGAATATAATAAGAGTATTAAGTGACATCTGAAGCATAATTAGCATCCACAAGGCTGTTTTCCCAGGACTGCAGAGAAGTGATGCATCCATTCGGGGGTTTTGGACTTCTTACATGTTCTTAAGAGTTATTTATGTTCCAGTCAGTTCAGAACTTCATCTTCCTGGTAAATCCATTTGACTATATTACCATAATATGTCTAAAAATAAATCTTCATCCTGCCTGCTCCCAGAATTTTTGTTCTTGTTATAATAAAGGCCTGCTCCAGTTTAACTTCAGTGGCAGCTGGATTGGGCCTGGCGTTGAAGCTTGTTCCTAAACTTTCTCAGACTACATACATCCAGCACTGTCAGCTTGTTTATGCAGCTGGAAGTCTGCATGTCTGAAAA